TTGTGAACTTTGGTATCGCTGTTTCCTAAAATTCTTTGTTGTTATGCTAGAGAAAAGAGTAACAGGTTAAAATGGTGCCTCGAAATTAGTCTCGAGTGTGAGTGTGTCCTAAACCCTTATATGGGTTTATGAGTGTGTCCTAAACCCTTATATGGGTTTATGAGTGTATCCTAAACCCTTGGCTAAACCCCTATATGGGTTTACGAGCGTTTCCTAAACCCTTCGCTCAGCCCCATCCGTACTTGGTGACCATCATAAACCATTTTGAGGGTTTATGTAAGGGTTTATTGATTTCCTAAACCCCTTCATATACCCTTACTAAGGGTATATCGAAGGGTTTATCATTTTTCTAAACCCTTAAAAGGGTTGTTGAAAGTGCAACGTATAATAAACCCTTAAAGGGTTTATGAACTTCCTAAACCCTTTCCTAAACCCTTTGAAAGGGTATATAAAAGGGTTTATGGATTTCCTAAACCCTTTATTAAACCCTTAAAAAGGGTTTAGGAAAATTTTACATACGGTAAAAAGGGTTTATTATACGTTGCACTTTCATCAACCCTTTTTGGGTTTATTATTCTACGAATTTTTTTTACAGTGTAGTATTTCGAATTTACAAGAATTCTTATCAAGTGGCAAATTTGGAGCATGTTGTCGATAACAATTTTTCGCCTTGTAAATCTTTGTATTTTGATAAATGAGTATAGATATTCGCCTTAATTCTTGGTGATTAAATCAACTAATTGTAGTCGTGTGTTCAAGAGATTGATTGATTTCTTGATAGTGAATGTCGCCAAATCTCTGCTTTTGTTATTTTATCAATTGAACTCAAATGTTAGTATCCACTTGTTGACTCTGATGAGTTGACACTGACGAGTCATCATACTATAATATACAAAAATAAAAATGAAATGATAAATGTGTGAATAGATCACATTGACATTTTCGTCATTACTTTGTTTTTCATCGAATCATTATGATGAGTCATGATGAAATATATTGTAATTAATCATCTAGAACAAAAGGACAAAAATGAATTGAACGAAGGGAATAACTTGATATGTAATAAATCAGAAGTTATCGGAAGAGGATAATAGAGTATGGGGCAAAAAAACGGGAAAGAAAAAAACAAACAAAGTATTATTTTGGACTTAAATGAAGTGGTGAGTCCGTAGTGTTAGTATTGGATGGTATTTGAGGTGAATCTAAATCGATCGTAATTGGTGCAGGTGTAGAAAGATCGATTGTTGTTGGTGTCGGTGTACGTAGATCGATCGTACGAGATGTTGATGGTGATAGATCAACTATTTCGACCAAGTTTCCTGCTGCTGTTGTTTTTGGTAAAGGTTGATCGATCCGTTCATGTTCATGTTCAGTCGTTATCTCTGCCAACTCACGAAGGATGGCTGATGCATCATTTATAGTTTGGCCTATTGAATCGATAATTAGATAATGAAATTTTTCTTAAAAATAATTTTTACTTTGTTGTTGAGGTAAACTCTTTTGTTGTTCAGATAAACTACTTTGTTGTTCGGATAAATTACTTTGTTGTTGAGATAAACTACTTTGTTGTTGAGATAAATTACTTTGTTGATGTTCATTGAGGTTGGTCTCCTATTTTATATTAGAAAAAAAAATGTTCATTTTTACATCTATTTTGAGTAAACAAATAGTACGTCGTACCTCAATAAAAGCAGTATTTAAAGGATCTGGTGTCGTCTGTGTTGATGAGTGAACAGTAATGTCTTGTTTAGAGAATTGAAAATAATTAGACATTTTTGCAATAAATTTCATTTCAGTTTTCATATTTACCTGCATCGTCATTCAATGCTTCTACTGCTCGACAAAATTCTTCATCGGCAAGTAATTTATCGATTTCATCGAAAGTTGAATTTTGCTTTCGTTCTCGTGCCATGAATAATATAATCTGAAAGATAATCAATTCAATCTAGAATGGAATTTTAAATTGCGATCAAAGTAATAGTGATCATGACAATACGACATAGATTGATAATTCTTACAGTTAATATAAAACAATTTAAAATGATAACAGAAAATGAGAGAATAGATGGATGTGTAGAGTTACCACAAAACTAGAGTTTTTCGAATTTACTTACGATTCTTGTTCGGGAGATACAACGGATTAGAGAAGAGGACAAAGTTGTCAAGATGCTTTGTGCAATGTGTCTGTGACGGTTCGTGTAGATAAATTAAAACGAAAGAAAAGATTGTGTTAGAGTAGGAATGTTTTTCTATTGATTAAGGTTTTTTCTTACCAGTGGTTATTTGTTATCGTTTTTTTAACGTAGTACAATATTGGCCTGATTTTTTTGATTTTGTTTGTGCGTAGCATATGGAAGTAAAAAGCATGTCAAAAGTAGATAAACAACCAGAATGAGAATATAGAAAGCAATAGGAATTAGAGTAAGCGATTGCTGTTTCAAAATGACTCAAATATCTTTACTATTATTTTACACTGCCGTTTTCGAAATATGATAGAAGTTATTTCTGGTAATGCAATTGGGTGTGCATGGATATTTATCCTAAATTATTAAAAACATTCGTATGTAATGCAAAGGCACATCGTATTTTATGACTGAGTATTTGGGTGTGTATATACAAATGAATTTCGTTTAATAGCACAAGCTAAGCTTACGACCGGTTTCGACCTTGCTTAAGGGTCTTCATCAGGTAAGTTCGGCTATTAAATTTTAAATACTGCAATTCAATTCTACCCACAAGTTCGAGACAGTTTAATGAAAGCTAAGAATAACTCTCAATTAAACTATCGTCAAGATAATGCAGGAGAATCACAATCATCTCCAAAAACGTTTTGGACAATTTTTCAAAAGCCAGAACATTTTTTAGAAATAAGAGAACTCGCAGCTAATTTATATTCAAGAACTCAAGAAATTCAAGAATATATCGGTGTGTATTATGTTTAAAGAAACTGTGACTATGGTTTCGACCTTTCTCAGGGGTCAAAATGTTCAGGTAGTTTTAGCACTGCATAAATTTATAGATTAAATTGAAAAGAACGAATTATTCTCACGTTTAGTTTATAAACATAAAGCAAAGCAGAGATTTCTTAAATATAACACGGTGTGTATTATGTTTAAAGAAACTACGACTGTAGTTTCGACCTTTCTCAAGGGTCAAAATCTTCAGGTAGTTTTAGCACTGCATAGTCTTTAAGAAGATGAGATTTTGAATATAAGTCGTTTGAAATCTCTCGATTGCGGTTTTTCTGAGTATGAGGTAGAAGATGTTCGACGCCTATAGTTTTTACTGTTCTTTAGATGACTGATGTCTATTCCAGTGCAGGGTATCTACAATTAATTTGATTGTTAGAAATAGAATTATAGAGATATCTTAAATAGAAAGTGGTGATCGTGACTGATATTTGGACTATTTGTGTGTTACTCACCGTTATGAAATTGGATGTTTTGTTGAAACAGAATGCGAATAGTCGAGATGGTTTTTTCATTGTTTCGTTTTGGAATAGAATGATGAATAATTTGATTGTGTGAGCTGTAAATAGTGGTGACATTGTTTGTTTATCTTAGTGGTGTTTTTTTTTGTCGAAATAGTACATTTGTACAGCATTTTGTACTTATGGATGTGAAGAGATTATCTGAAATAGAAGCAATGAAAAGACGTTAATTGTTCAGGGGAATTTGAGATACTTTATTTTGGAAAAGCTTTATTATTTATTGGTATTTCATTTAGGCGGGAAAATCAGTGGGGTATTATGAGATTATTGGATTTTGAACTGTTTTTTTTTATAAGTGTTGATGACGAAATGCCAGGTCTTCCCACTCTTCTTTTTGTCGAAGTAATTCCTGGTTTCTTCTGCATTGTTGTGCATAGTCGTTGTTTTGCATGTCGTAGACTTGCATTGCTTGATCGTGTTGATCCCACCACAGTTGGTCCTGAAGGAATTTTGCATACCGTTCTGTATCGTCTAGTGGTAATCCGTGCGCTCGAGGTGCAGGATTTCCTTGTAGTTCGTTTAAATGTTCTT